CAGAAAACACCCACCCTGCCCTGTTTGTGATGTTTAATGATTGTGACCAAAAGATATTTCCTTTCTATGCAGGCCACACATGTTGGTGTGGGAAGTTTCTGCATTTGTTTTTAAGTGGGAAAGCGAGTGACCCACCCCACGACTGGCCGTCACAGGAAAGCAGGAAGAAAGTGTGGGTGTTGGGGTGGGGGGGGCAAGAACAGCCCTCTGGGCTTATGATCAGCTGCAGGCTCTGCTGTTGCTCTGGGGTTTGGGGGGGGGTGGGCTTGATCACTCCCCCTCACCCCCACTTACTACCTTCCTGTCTCTCCTCTTTCACCCTCATGGTCCTTTAGAGGATGCAATGGCGATTCCATCCTCCCAGGACAGAAGTGCCTGCTGGGTGCGTGTGGAGGAGAGATTGCTGCGGGGAGGCACAGGGAGACAACCAAAGCTGGGTCCTCCAGGTCCGGTCAAAGGACCCTGCTAATATCTGGGGTTTCCGCCAATTTTCGGGGGTGGAGTGGGGGGCGGGGTTGGCGCTGAACATGAGGAAAGGACCAGAAATAGAATCCAGCCCCTCACAGCAGGTGGACATCGGACCCAGCACTGCAAGGACCTCCCTGAGGGGAGAGGAGGCAACACAGGGCTGAGGGAGCAGTGTTAGCGGTCTTCCAGAGTGTCTTCCCTTCCTGATGCAGGGGAAGGGTGGTGATGGGATGGGGGGAATTCTGGAAAGATGGAATGGTTGGGACCAGCAGACAGGCACCCCCAGCTTCCTCTAACTGAGTGAGGAGCTGTTTTAAAAAAGCTTTATTTATTTAGGCAGACATGCAAGAGCCTGTATCCCCTCTCTGTATGCATAAATAAATCTTTTTTAAAAAGATATATGAGCTGAGGTGTTGGCCAGAGATACAGGGGGGTGATAGGAGTCACTAGAGATAGTGGGGAGCAGAACATGCAGCTCTCCTGAAGCCCACTGCTGAGGGGAGCAGCGAGGACACAGGAGAGGTCAGCTGCACCATGGGGGTCACACCCCTGGCCGGGGCTCCTTGAACTCCTGCTGCAGTGGCTCTGGACAGCTTCATAGTGCTGAGACTTACTCCCTGCACCAACAGGGAGGCCCTCTGTTGGTCTTATTTTTAGAATCCATTTAGTATGGGACACCCACTTCCTGGGTGCCACCAGATGAATGAAGTCGCTGTCCGCCATCTTGTTTTTGCTTGGTCGGCCCATTTTTCCAGAATCCACAAGGTTCTTTGCTTTTGAGAGCTCCAGTGTGGCCTTGGGTGGACACTGCGCCACCACAGCACCCGTGGACCGTCCCTTCCTGTAGTGAGGGGATACCCAGTAGCTGCAGGGAAGGAAGCACAGACAAAGCTGGTATGGACTTTTTTGGGGTCTTCCAAGGCCCCTCAAGAAGACACAGAAAGTCTTTCATTTCGGTCCTGGGCACGTCCTCTAGTGTAGCAGTTCTGTCAGTCTGTCTACTGTCCAGCATGTGCCAAACAGGACAGGTCCAGCAGCAAGGTGACCACAGAACATTAGTGCTGGATGAGGTCACCAGGGGCCTCCTTGTTTTGCAGAAGAGGTAGAGTTGCCAGGCTTAGCCAACAGATAAGAGTGTCCAGTCTAACTTGCATTTCAGATTTGTCACTACACAGATACAGTAACCTAATATGGTTGGTGGGTTAGTTGGTTGGTTGGTTAGTTGGTTAGTAGAAGTATGTCCCAGTATTGCTTGGGACACAGATGCAGACATTTTTTGTCTGTGTTTACCTGAAATCCAGTTTCACAAGGCTTCCTGTATTTGAGGTGGCAACTGAGAACACCAGGTGTTTATGGAAAAGCAACCTGCAGGTCACACAACAGGCCAGGCCTGTGGGGTCTTAAGCCCTCTTGCCCCCAACGGACACAAGCACTCCAGCTTGCAGTTTTTAATGGGAAGCAAGTACTTTCCAGGTGTACGTAAGGCTTGTCTGGGGCTCTGGAAACAGAACAGTCAGTGCCCCAGCAGAACAGGCACGAGGTCAGGACTGCGGAGGCTTAGTCTGGAAGCCAGACATGCTCACTGCTGGGCCAGGCTTTCAGGGCCTTAAGGTGTAGTTTCTTAACGCAAATGGGTCTGTGCTGCGTCACGAGGGTCAGCTGAGATGAGTCCTCTTGTTGGTATCAGCTGCCTGGAGATGGGGGAGGAAGCTTGGTCAGCAGAGAGCGGCACCCCATCTTCCCCCACCCATTTCCCAAGAGGCTTTGGACTACATCTTCCTACTGGCTGGAACAGCAGGCCCCAGCGGTCCAGTCAGCCCGGCCCATATCTGATTTACAGGAACTCACACCAGCGATCGATCATCCTTAATTTGTAACTGGGCAGTGTTCTGGGCTGGCCAATAGCTAAGACCCACCCCCCACCCCCAGACACCCCACCCTCCCCAGCCGTGGGGCTGTCCACTCAGTCTGCCCTGGAGCTGCCCAGCCAGCAGGAGTTTGGAGGTTTGGTGCTGGAGGGCTTGGGGAGAGGTCTAGGCAGGGAGGGGCCCCGGGGCCCCCACCTCCCCCAGCTTCCTGTTCCCTTTTATCTCCTCTGCTGCCTTGGCACCCTCCCTCCACTCCAGGCTTCTTCCTTCCCCTCCTGCTCCCTGCCCTCCTCCCCAGCAGTTGTACCCTGCTCTGCAGCCCCCGCCTCCCCATGCTTCATTGTTTGGCTAAAGCGGGACCCCCTTGAAGGAACAGATGGAGGAGACCCCGGCCTGGGGGTGGGGGAGAGAGCCTGGGCCAGCCGGTGCCGGGAAAGGAAGCGGTTTGGGGAAAACAAAACCGAGGGAGGAGCCAGGGAGAAAGTGGCCCTGGAGGGGGAGGGGAGGGGGAAAGGGTGGGGAAGGAGGCCGGTAGAGGGGGGGAGGGGGAGGGGAAGGGGGAGGGGTGGGTGCGGTGAGGCCCCCTGGGCCCTGGCTGGGAGCTAACTCCTCGCTGGCTGGCTTCGCAGGGCGCAGTCCCTGCCCAGATGGCCTCCAGGCTGACCCCGCTGACCCTCCTGCTGCTGCTGCTGCTGGCCAGGGTGAGTGGCCCCTTCCTGGGTAGGGGACTCCGATTAACCCTTCAGGCTCAGGACGTGAGAGCAGCTTTCCGGAGCGTGCGGGAAGTCCTTCTCCGACTCCCTGCCCCATTATGTAAGAGGATCAAGGAGACAAGATGGGCAACTTTTTGCGACATACCAATGGCAAACAGGGCTGGGGGGGCTGGCGGAGGAGACTTGCACCCCCACTCTGTGCCCCCTGATGGGGCAGGGGTGTGTGGTGGGAGTTAAGCCCAGGAGAGGTCTCAGTGGCCAGCAAGGTCAGGGGCAAGAGGAGCCCAGGCCCCTGGGAGCCAGGAAACAGGTGGGTGCTTAGTGAGTGGGAGTGTGTGTGACAGCCGTGGGCAGTGCCTTTTGAGAGTCTACAGATTGATGTGATGACCAGGGGTTCTGAGCCAGAGACCCAGGTTAGACTCTTGATTTCCCCTCTGCGGGCCCCCAGGCCCTGGGTTAGGTACTTAACAAGCCAGCACCTGTTGATCAGTGCAATGGATAGATAATACATGGCTTCACAGCCAGGGAAGAGGCTGATGGGGCAGATGAGTCACTGTTCCGAGGGCTGGCCCCGGCCTTGTGGCCTGCAGTATCTCCATGGCTTCCCCCTCAGGCCCCACTGAGGTCTTTACTGCCCCCCCTTCAAATAGCTCCTCCTCCCTCTAACACCCCAAAATGCCTCCAGATGGTGCCGGATGCCCCTGGGAAGTCAGAGTGTGCCTGATAATTTGAGGGTGACCCATCTATACTATTTCTTCTCCCCACTTACCCTCTTGGTTTCTTCCTCCAGTCTCTCCTTCCCCCCTGCCCCTCCCTCCAAATTTGTCCCTCCAAACAAATTTGGGATGCTGGTTGTTTTCTATAACTTTTCATAATTTAGAAAACTGGTGTTCTACTAGCTCTAATGCTGTACACGCAGGTAAGCTGAGACAGGCAGATAGCACAGAGAAAGGCAGGACCGTAGGTAAAGGACAGTGCCTACCCGGCTCCAGAGCTGCAGACGCTTCCTCACAGCAATTACTCCGAGCAGCACTGGACAGCCTCTTCAGCTGCAGAGAATGCCCCGGGCCCTCCCCCTGCAAGGCACCCCTCTGAAGGACTTAGTGGTGTCTAGGTCTGGCCCCCTGGCTCTCCCAGGAATTATGCTGTGGCACACGAGGATTATTCTGACACCTTCCACATGTGTTCCCACCTCTCACCCTGCTTTGCGTATCTGAAGGGACTGGCCTCCTAGGATGAGAAATGGAATTCAGTTTCTTGAACCGTAGGATAGCACCTGTTCCACTGAGAATGGAACCAGCCACAGCACCATGGAGCCAGAGAGCTTTGGAGGGGAAAGAAGTCAAGAGAACCTCTCGATGGACGATAGCCCCAAGAATATGTCCATTCAACACCCCGAAGCCTCTTCCGAAACCAACTCAACCACCATCATGGCCACTAACACCACTTTTGAAGCCCCCACACAGCCCACTACACCGTCCATCCAAACAACTGCCCAACCCACTTTTGCATCCTGCTTGGAGCCTCCCAAGTCCTGCTTCGACTTGGCGAATCATTCAGCGGAAGCCTTGCTGGGAGACTCTTTGGTGGATTTCTCCGTGAAGCTCTACCACGCCTTCTCGGAGCTGAAGAAGCCTGAGACCAACATAGCCTTTTCCCCGTTCAGTGTGGCCAGCCTCCTCACGCACGTCCTGCTGGGTAAGACTCTGACTGCTTTCTCTCCAGGTTGTATGTTAGACAGTCCCGTGACAGTCTCAACCCTGACCCCTACGAAGCCATGCCATGGAAGAAGCTAGAAAAAATGGGCTACATTTGGTGGCGGGAGAAGCACCTTCATTCTTGAACATTTATTTATCACTTTTTAAATATTTCATTTGTGCACACACAACTGGGGTACAGGTCAGAGGTATGGGGGGTGATTGGGGAGTAGAAGAGGTAGATCAACTGACATACACTGCTGAGGGGAGCAGGGGGCGAGGCAGGAGAGGTCTGCTGGGCCATGTGGGTCAGTTCCCTGGCTGGGAATCGAACTACTGCTGCAGGGGCTTCGGAGAGCTTCCTAGTGCTGATACTCAACCCCTTGCACCACCAGGGAGGGCCCTTGAACATTTATTTATACTTTTGCTTAATAATGATTTCATAGGCACTATTCCTTGCAAAATCCTATAAACTGTGCAAGAATATATAGAACCAGATTCCATAGCCAACCCTGATCAAGGGGTGAGGATAAGAGATAGACAGTGAACAGAATTACGAATGCTGCTTTTTTAGCTGTGTGACTTCGGGCAGATTACACACCTCTCTGAACCTGAGTCTTTATCTGGAAAGTGGAAATGGTTGAATCTACCTCAAACAACTAGGCAAATAGCCCAGCAAATAGCCTAAGCAAATGCCTGATTGAAGGTCAACAAATCTCCACCCCTCTGTCTTTCTGAGGACTCACAAGTCCCATGAGGGTAAGGAGTGGTTTGCTGCAAGCACTGGATGATGCTGAGGCTCCTCCATAGTGGGCAGCACCCTCCCGTTGCAGCCTGGCCCCTCAACCCTAGGCCCCATGGCTGTCCGCATGGCGCCTGCAGTTGCCCTGTCTCTGCCTCACAGGGGCTGGGGACAAGACCAGGAGGAACCTGGAGAGCCTCCTCTCCTACCCTGAGGGCTTCGCCTGCGTCCACGAGGCCCTGAAGGCCATCAAGTCCAAAGGCTTCACCTCGGCCTCCCAGATCTTCCACAGCCCAGGTGGGTGACCGGGAGGCAAGGCCTCCATGGGGGTCCAGATGTGGGGGAAGCAGCCGAGGGCGTGGGAACAGCTAGAACACCCAGAGCTATGGCATTGGTGGGGGGTAGTGCAGAGCAGCTGCGGGCCCCAGCAGAGCTGGCAGGTGGCTCCAGGAGAGGCCGAGGGCACCTTCCGCACCCATCAAGGCCTTTCAGAATGAGAATGTCCCTGGTCACTTCGTAGGACCAGAGGCTGGAGAGTGCTAAGCAAAATAGGTGCAAAAAGGTTTGCTAACTGTCACAGGGGACTCTTGGGACGCCTAGTCCTGTCCACTAGCTGGCTTTGTGCTTGCTTCTCTGTATTACATGTCCAATAGGCGCGAAAACTACGCTTCCAAAGCCACCTGAAGGCAGCTTATTTCCTGATTTTATTCCCCTGGGCCCAGGAGCTGCTTCGGGAGTCATGGGGATGGGGCCGGTGGGGTCTGGAGGCTGAGTGGGCAGTCAGGACCCACCCTGGGAAGGGGAGAGGGAGCCAGCTGGGCCCTGAGCACCGATCAGCCTCTGCCAGAGCCTCCTGGACCATATATGGGCTTGAGCCATGGCTGCATTTGGAAGTTTTGCAGCTTGAAAGGGTTTGAAAACTCCAGATCTAGTTTAACCCTTTCTTTAAATAAAGAGAAATATTTTTGCCTGTCTTTTTTCTCAATACCATGAAAGCAGTATTCATTGTGGAAAACAGAAAATAATAGAGAAGCAAAACAAATGGGAGAAAGAAAACTCACCTATTACCCATCAGCTAAAACAAACAAAAACACAAACCAGCCCACCGTTATTTTCAGAGGTGAGGAAAACAGGGCTCTGAGGTGTTCAGGGGACGTTGCATTTATATCTGCTATACATCCAGCCTGATCCTCTGTCTTTTCAGGTTAGTGGAAAATACCACTTTTTACACTATTACCTGTGCAGTCCAGTACAATTCTCTCTTTCTCTTTTTTTAAAGATTCAGTTAGTGATTCATACAGAACTGAGGTACAGGCCAGAGGTGCAGGTGCGGAGAGAGGCTTCACCAGAGACAGAGTGGGGAGCAGAACAGGCAGATCTACGAAGTACACTGCTGAGGGGAGCAGCGGGCGGGCCAGGAGAGGTCTGCCATGCTGTGGGGGTCACCCCCGGGGCGGCCATCAAACTCGCACGAGGTGGCTGCCACTAGCATGTGGTGCTGCGTCCTAACCGTTGCGCCACCGGGGAGGGCCCGAGCCTCCCCTTTCTGTGGTGATCAGTGTTCTAGACGGCAGAGGGTGCAGGACTCAGGCCTCTCCCTGACCCGCCCCTGCAGACCTGGAGCTGAAGAGCACCTTCCTGAACGCCTCTCAGAGGCTGTACGCCAGCCACCCCCAGGTCCTCGGCAACGACAGCAGTGTCAACGTGGAGCTCATCAACAGCTGGGTGTCAAAGAAGACCCACGGCAAGATCAGCCATCTGCTGGACAGCCTGCCCTCCGACACCCGCCTGGTCCTCCTCAACGCCATCTACCTGAGCGGTGAGGCGCTGGGCTTCTCTGCTCCACACTCCACACCCCGCTGGCTTCGCCTCCCACCTTCACAGAAAGGGGTCCCCCAAGCCCCTTCTAGCCCCTCTCCACCCCTTCCCTGCCCACTAGGGATGACCCCCTCCTCCTCTCCCTTCCCTCCAGCCAAGTGGAAGACAGTATTTAATCAGAAAAAAACCACGATGGAGCCCTTTAACCTCAGATCCTCCGTGATAAAAGTGCCCATGATGATGAGCAAGAAGTACCCTGTGGCGGGTTTCTCTGACCCGACTCTGAAGGCCAATGTGAGTGCTTGATCCTGCCTCCTGTCTCTGAGCCTTCTGGGGCCTTCTGCGCTGCTCTGGCCCCAGTCCTTGGGGGTGCACCCTGACTAATTTACCGTCTCTGCTCCTTCCAGCTCTAGCTGCGCCTAACTTTGCTCCTTCCTCCCTCTCTGGCTTCAGCTGAGGCAGGCATTGTGTCTTTGGGGCTGGAAAGTAGGAGGCTAAAATCTCTCGTCTCTCTCTGCTGCATCGAACGGCCAAACAGTGAGTTGTGTTCCTGTCCTGTGCATCTGCTTCTGTCCAGTCAGCCTGCCCAGAGAGTCTGCGTCTGTGCACAGCTCTGTACAACGTGCGTCTGTCAGTGACCTCATGGGTCGGAGTGTCCCCGTGTGCATACGTGTGGCAAGTTCTGTGTGTGCACACCCAATGGGTGAAATTCCTCAGCAGAAGTGGACCATTGTCATTCTTTCTCACTTTCTTTTTTAAGCTTTATTTTATTTATGCACACAAGAGCTGGGGTGTAGGCCAGAGGTGGGGAGTGTGAGAGGAGTCACGAGAGACAGAGTGGGGAGCAGAACAGGCAGATCTGCTGAAATACACTGCTGAGGGGAGCAGTGGATGCGACAGGAGAGGTCTGCTGCGCCCTGTGGGTCACCTCCCCCGCTGGGGATGGAACTTGAGCTGCAGAGAGCTTCATAGTGCTGAGACTTACCCCTGCACCACCAGGGCGGCCCTGGATCAGTGTCATCTCAATGGGTGAGGTGGGAGGGAAGACATCATGGAGCTCAGGACTGACAAGCTGGCTTGTGCCCACTCACCAGATAGCTCTGCCATGTTCAGACAGCGAGACACTGACCTGTAAGGCCGAACAGTTGGGACAACCCAGGACTTATTGCCAGAAGGCAGTAAGTAAAGGATCTGTGCTAGAATATGCCAGGCTTGATTTTTTTGCTCAGATTTTCTTTGCTCAGATTTTCATATGCATTTTCCTCCTTCTGATTCAGGTGTCATCTCAAAGGCGGAGACACCTTTCTTCTCCTTAAATGTCCTTCTGTTTTATCCCAATCATGGTGCTTACCATTGTCTGAAATTGCGTTGCTTATTTGCTTATAATATTGTCTGTCTTCCTAAGATACTATCTCTGTTTTGGGGAATAGCGACCTTGATTTTCATATTTCCTCCTGTATCCCCAGTGCCTAGACAAGTTCACATCGGAGTATGGTAAATGCTCGTTATACGTTTGCTGAACAAACGAATGCAGCAGAGTCTGGTCTGACTGCTGCTTGTTGAAATAGTACAGACAGCAAGGATGACGATGGCCTTGTGACACAGGGTAGGAGCTGTGTGGGGAAACTGACAAGGTGTGTTTCTTCCCCTAGATCGGGATGCTGCAGCTTTCCCACAACCTGAGCTTGGTGATCATGGTGCCCCAGCACTTGAAGTACCATCTGGAAGACTTGGAACAGGCTCTCAGCCCCACTGTCTTCAAGGCCGTCATGAAGAGGCTGGAGCTGAGCAAGTATCAGCCCACCCTCCTGATGATGCCCCGTATCAAAGTGATGAGCAACCAGGACATGCTGCCCATTCTGGAGAAACTAGGTGAGCCATGGTGGAGCAGGTTTACTCCCAGGCCACCAGCGGAGAGCAGCTGGGAAGGGCTCGTTCAATCGGGGTGAGCATTCCAGGTTATTTTTTGTATCCATCATCTTGGATTGTCCCAAGGAGCAGATGCAGTGATCCCCGTGGGTCATCAAGGAACCTGAGACTCAGAAAGGTCTACGTGACTTACCCAAGGTCCCTTGAACTCATTCAGAGTCAGCCAAACATCAGTCAGCTCTCTCGACTGTCTCCACTGTGGTTCACTGTGAAATAGACACTGGGACAGGGGGCCCGGGTGTGCTGCGGGTGCTCCTTTCCCAGAGGTCTCTAACACTCGGCCACCCCAGGAATGTGCAAGAAGCTAACCTGGGTAAAAAGCTCGGGAGGGCTCTTAGCTTGGGAGGGGTCATTCCGCCCCTTGGCAATCTTGTGCCAAGATAGACTGCTTCCCTTTCTCTTGTAGAACATGACTTCCTAATAGGTGATCTCATTCCCTAGGATCTGACATCACCCCTTTGCAGATAATGATTTCATCTGATAACAGCTGACCTTCCTCTGATATATTACCTCACTCCCAATGTCCTTGTTGCCAAAGAATCAATGACATCCTTTTTAGGGTTTCTGGCATCATTAAAAAAAAAAAGATGTCTGTATTTATGTATACAAGAACTGGGGTACAGGCAAGCAGTGCAGGGGATAAGAGGACTCACCAGAGACAGAGTTGGGAGCAGAACAGGCAGCTCTACTGAAATACACAGCTGAGGGGAGCAACAGAGGCCAGCTTGCACCCTTCACTCTTGTCTGCTGCACCCTGTGGGTCACCTCCCTGGCTGGGGATCAAACTCATGCTGCAGGACTGCAGACAGCTTCATAGTGCTGAGACTTAACCCGTTGCACCACCCGGCAACGCATTTGGCATCATTTTTTGAGCATTTTGGAGGGAGAAGATGAAGCCTCTCACTTCTCAAGAGAGGTATGGTTGAAGTGAAGACGGGGCCACTGATCAAGGACCCCACAGACTGGACCAGAGGGCTCCATATATTGTTTGATAAGGAAGAGGTAGGAGGAAGAACGTGATAAGACTCAGGACCAACCTAGAAAACTCAGGACAGGTCTCCAGCAACAGAAGTTTTCCTGATGTTTGATTGCTTGTTTTCTGTGCCTTAGAATTCTTTGACTTTAGCTATGAACTTGACCTGTGTGGGCTGACAGAGGACCCAGATCTTCAGGTCTCAGCGATGCAGCACCAGACCTTGCTGGAGCTGACGGAGTCCGGAGTGGAGGCGGCTGCGGCCACCGCTGTCTCTGTGGCCCGAACTCTGCTGATCTTCGAGGTCCAGCAACCCTTCCTCTTCGTGCTCTGGGACCAACAGTACAAGTTCCCTGTCTTCATGGGGCGGGTGTATGACCCCAGGGGCTGACGAGCCAGCAGGGCGCGTGGGGTCAGCCTGCACCCTTCACTCGCCTGCCTGGACGGGCCCCGAGCCACCTGCTGCCCAGGTCTCCGGGGTCCTGTCATCCGGGGTCTGGCCAAAGGACCTGTGTCTGTCTCTTCCCTGTGACCCTCCAAAGCACTTTGTACAGCTTTCTTTGTTTCACACTCACCACACTACAAATAAAGCCTGGCAGATCATGGCATCCTCTCACTTACCTTTCAGGATAGAGGACAAGCACGCTTTGGACTTTGTCTGTGCTACATGTGACTGTAACAAGTTACTCCCAGCTTTGCTGCTTCAAAGAGCAACCATTTATTTCACACAAGCCTGGGTCCCGCTGACTGGGCTGGACCAGGATGTCTCCCTGGGCCGGCTTGCACGTTGAAAGGTGGTGTTGGGTTGGGGAAGGACTCACAGGGCAGGCTAGTGGTGCTCTCCATCTCCCTGCTCTGCAGTGGGACAGTTCCAAGAACAGCTCATCTTTTTCACATCTCCACCTCTCTGCTTGGGTCAAGTCTTCATTTCCCATCAGTCAAAGCGAGTCATGCAGCCAGACCTGGGGGGAGCCCTGCCACAGTGCCCTGGCTAAGTCACCAGTAGGGAGAGACTCAAAGTGTGGCACAGCCCTTGCCACACCCTTCTGCAGTGACTGACAGCAGTAGAGACAGGTGTCCAGGTGGCTGGGAGCCCACAGGTGGTCTGCCCGGACTCCGCAGGCATTTAATCCTCACAACTTTTATCTGGTAAACTGAGAGCAGTTGAACGTCTTGCTCAGTGTCGCTCCTGGGAGGAATTGCCAGACAGGAACCTGCAAAACCATCTCTGTGACCTCTAAGTCTGAACTCATAGCCGCCACCTTCTGTGTTTCTTTCTTTCTTAAAGATTTATTGATGCATACAGAACTGGGGTACAGGCCAGGGGTACAGGGGTGGTGAGAGGCTTCGCCAGAGACAGAGTGGGGAGCAGAACATGCTGACTGACAAAGTACACTGCTGAGGGGAGCAGCGGGCGGGTCAGGAGAGGTCTGCCGCGCCCTGTGGGTCACCTCTGGGGTAGGGGTCGAACGCATGCTGCAGTGGCTGAGGCCAGATTGCAGTTGCATTAACCAGTTGCGCCGCCAGGGAAGGCCCCATCTTCTGTGTTTCTACCTCTCTCCCCTAAACCCACCCTTCGCTTGATGTTTCATTCATTTGTTCAGCAAATAGCCTAGCACTTGTCAGGCTAAGTGTCACTGACATAAAAATTGGGTTCTACCTCCAAACCTTAACATTTGTTGGGGGCCAGGGTTGGGAGTACAACTTCTTTTGGGGGGGATAGATGACCGTTCCATCCCCAAATGTCCATTCCATCTCTGAAGAAATCTCTTGGCACCAATTGGGAATGTGAACAAGGAGAGTCAAGAGGTAGCAAGGGATTCTGGGCCCTCCCTGGTGGCGCGATGGGTTAAAGCTCAGCACTATGAAGCTATCAGCAGCCACAGCCCAGTGAGATTTATTTATGCATAAAAAACTGGGGTGTAGAAAGAAAAACGGGTGTAGGCCAGGGGGTGAGAGGATTCACCAGAGAAAGTGGGGAGCAGCACATACAGATCTACTGAAATACACTGCTGAGGGGAGCAGCGGGGAGACAGGAGAGGT